TATTACCCCGCACTACCTGAGCATCCTCCTCATGTTTGTAAGATAATTCACCTGGTATCTACTCTGAGTTGCTCATGTCAATTGTGTATTGTTTTTTTTCCTCCCACTAATATTGACCAGCTGCTCACTACTCTATAGGATCTTGCTGATCCTTTTTTCCTTCCTCTATGACCATGTTCGAGTACAGTATTAATAATTATGTTTTTCTTCGTTAAACACATGACCTCAATCTACCGAACCCTATTTATGGAATAAATAGAATAGGTGACAAGAGCTTGGGTCAAATGGCCTTTTTTTCCTTTTCTTTCTCACCCTGCGGGTCTTTCGGGTCCTTGAATCGCCGCCTAACTGGTGGGCTGAGACGGCTGCAGTTAACGGGCATACGCGGGACAAGACGAAGGAAAAGCTGCCCTGTTCATCTTCGTATGTGGTGAGTTCCTTTTTGATCTCTGTGGGAGGCTGCTTTGCATAATAGCGACTACCTGGTCTACACCATGCATCCAGGCAAAACCCGAGAAAAAGGAAAAAAGGAATAGCCAAGGGACATTGTCTTATAGTGCAGTTTTGTGTCTCTATCAACGCCATGAGGAGATAGGCGCAAGGAAATGAATTATCCCACATGTTTTGCACTACTGCTTTAACTCCATTGCTACTTGTAGATTATTATACATGCTAAAACTCCTCACTATGTCATGTGCATGGCTTCCAAAACAATGAGGCCGCCTTCACCGGGCAAAAGCTGCGAGTAAGATAATAAGTATAGTGGAGCTTAATGGTAGCGCCAAAAGTCTTATCATATTTCTTGCAGCCCTTGTCGAGCGAAGACAGCCCAATTGCTCCGGAAACCATGCGCATTTTGCTGATATATTTCCACCTGATATGGTCTCATGGAGCGAACAATAAGTTAAGAACCAAAAATGAGAAAATAAAAAGAAGAAATAAGATGTGTTGGAGAGAGTTGAGATGAGGTTTCAAGCAATAATCGCAAGTCTGCTAGTATAAAGCCTCTTCGATGAGGCTGTTACTTCTCAGAGTATTGAAAATTGCTTAAAGACTCATCACAACCTTCTCTCTCTCGTAGACCCAAGTTCGAGTATAGCGTCCTCCGTAGTCAGGGTGCCTGGGGGGGTTGTCGCTTGTGGCACGGCGGTGCGGTGGGGTAGATTCGGAGCGGTCTTTGCTGAGATTCGCTCTTTGGATTCAAATTCTAAATGGCAAGACTTTGTTAGAATAGCGATATTACACAAATCACGCAGATGTGGTGCTCACAGCTTAGACGGAGGTGAAGTTGATCTGAAAGCGAATATCGATGAAGTCTCTCTTCATTGATCTCTTCCCGCTTTACATTATGCTCAATGTTTTTGAAAAGCTGGCTGCGTATTGTAAAGGGGTGGGAACCCTAGGAGACGAGGGAGCGAGTTTGAATCGAAAGGGGAGGGTCGGGCCTGGACGTATCAGGCTTCCGGTATCGCTGATTTTGCTGTCCTCTTTTCGATTAAAGCCTTTCTCTGACATCTCCTATTCTCGGCTGCCGAGTAATCTGAACAACAGAAAACCGGCGGGCCTATGATGTAAATATCTAACGCACACACACACCACCGTCTCTGGGAGTTCTCGTCTCCAGCTCCCATCATCATTTGTACTCTGAGTATCCCCCAGAGCACAACAAGCAGGGTCCCGAATCGTTCGCCACAAGCTCCCACTTTTGCAATGTCGCTCACGAGGTTTCGAAACATCACACCAGGGTGTATGGCTTTGTGACGCTCGCGCCTGTGGCGTTCGGTGTCTCGTATCTCTTGTGAATCGCTCTTCCTGGCACTTGAATACCAAGGCTCCGCTGGATAGAAAGCTTATTATCGAATCAATAGATCTGGGATCTGATGTATGAAACGGACAAGAGAAAGCGCAGACTGGGGATCTCACTATATGGGCCCTTTGTGAGATTTTCCCAAGCGACAGTGGGGTTTTATGATATGGTGGTCAGCCTACCTTGATCTGTTGATCACTTCAACATCAATTTTTCCTTCGCTCTTAGCCGGCATTAAGCCCCGGTTGTGCTAACATCTTCAGCCTGAAAACATCTGAACTCAATGAACCTTCAGGCCAACGCTATCCCCAGCCGGTCTAGCACGAAACCTTTGGGCATTTGGGACGAACATTGGCCGTTTTGTCTTTGAGAGCATGCTGTGGGCGCCACATGAAGGCCGGCGGGGCTTTAGGTTTTGCAATGGAGGGTATTTCGTCTCGTATGTAGGAGGTAAATATCCACATAACTGTTTCTTTAGTAGCGGATATCACCGAGGTTTAGTCTGGAAAAATGGTCTTCAACCGAGGCAGCCATGGTGAAAAGCACACCCGAGCCACTTGGCACTTGGTAGGAGGGAGCGAGGACGTGGTGTAGCTACCGGGTTCTTGTTGCGGAGTTCCAGCCGGAATGGGGTGCGAATGACCGCACCCTTGGTACCACCACCTGAAATCCCCAAGCACCGTAGGTGAAAGGGCAGGGAAATTCGTGGATCTTGTGCTCGTGTTATTGACCTAGCATGGCCCATCATTATTTAGACTGAGCCTTTCCTGGCTTGTTGCTTTCTTTTCAAAGAGTTATACCCGAACGGCTTCTCAATCTAGACTGAGTCCTCGAATAAGGCAGGAAGCAGTAGGCAATGAATTATCCAATGACTGTAGTTCACCCTCCGACCACGAGGTCATTCAGAACATTATGCCAGCAGTTGTTTGAGGGCAACTAGAATTGTTAGATCTGGTTTGGCTAGCGAGGATGTCAAAATCATGACTCACAACAACGAAGACTTTTCTTGTGGGGGTTCCAAGTTTCGTTACTCTGTGGCATTTATAGGAGAGGGTTCTCGGTCCGAATCGGAGACTTGGCGCTTTGCTCTTGGGTTGTGGGATCCTGGGGCAGTTCTGGCGTTATTGGGGCCTGACCCCGTGGCAAATTAGCAACCAATCAGATCTAATTCCTTCCTCATGAGATATAAGGTCTGAATCAGAGAGGGCCATTCTCGACTCACAGCTCATCACTCGAGGTAGCCCAAAGACGGAGGAGGAACTTAGCGGGGTACGGGATGTAAGAGGCAAGGAAGTGGCGCCTTTGGAGTATCAGCTGGGTCACCCAATGATTATAAGTTGTCTGTTAGACAGAATTTCTCACCATGCATCAATATTTGCCCTTGTCCGCTTGCCGCACCACCCGAACCCTGCCAGACTTCCATCCACTTCTGGCTGAGCAAGGAATCCCAGTGCTATCTCAACCAAACCAAGAGTATCATCTAGCTCTCGGGTGAACTCTACTTTCTTGTCTGCATGATAAATCCTGCAAGGCTGCGATACCAATTCGAATGATAAGCAGGGTTTCTGGTATGGGCCCTTTGGTTATTGGATGCAACCTTTCATGTTTGGCGCTGGCTGAGAGGGGCATTTCTCGGTGAAGCTTAAGGGGATCGGTCATAGGGCCCGTTTTCGCCCCGAAACATGTCTTGAACCTTAAATCTAGTTGATCAGTTATCATATGTTTGTATCCAGTGAACTAGCCTTAAAGCCTATATTCACCCATAGATCTTGTTTGTCGGTAATACCTCATTCGCAGGTTGGTAGATAGCGGTCAAGAAGTGTCTCTCGGTGACACCTGTCGGATTAGTTAGGCTTTGGCTGAACTGCAGCATCTGTCGGATAGGCGGGTGCAGATACGGGTTGTCGGGTCTCATGGGGAGAAGGAAGGGGGGAAAAAAAGAGGGAGGGGGGATGGCGGGTCCTGGATGTCGTCTAACAAAAAAGCGACTGATCGATTCTCTTTCTGTCTGGTGGTGACCTTCAAAACGCTTTGTTTAGCTGACGTGTCCTTTTATCCTGTAGGGAGAAGCGAGATCAGACTTATTGTGCTGCTTGTCCTGCTTGTCCTGCCGCTACCTCCAGTGATGCTTGGTTTTTGATTATCATAAAGTGACGGGAGCGAAACGGGGCAGAACGCAAGATCTATGTTGTGCTATCTTATGCACGAAGCTAGCGAAAAATAAATACCGCCAGGGTGATGGTGATGGAGGAGAGAGCAACATTTGAATCCGAGACTCCTCATCATTCTTTCACAACACAAGAGCAAAGGATTAAAGAAAGCCTTACCAGAACCCATAGGGTAGGAGGGAGTTGTCCACCATCTTCTCTTCATGCTCTCCCTTCTCTCCCGACCCCTCGTTACCCCTCCCTCCCACCCCAAGTACTCCCTCGTTGCTCTCCCCCCTCTAGTTCCCCTACCCCTCACGCACCGTTGAGGGAAAGATTAAAGGCCGCGATGAAAATTTTTTCCAAACGGGGCAGTTGCTTTGGTCGCACCGCCTTAAGTAAGGGTGAAGTGCCGACGCTCAGGGCTCCGGGGCGTTTTGGCGTTTGTGGTGGATTCCCCGGAATGCATCGGAGTGCATCATAACCCTCTAGCCAACCTCATCACCGGGTGCTCGGGATCACTTCAGTCTGGCGGGGCAAGTGTAAGACATGGACTCAAACTTGGCGCGCGAGTGAGTTGTCAAGACATAGTAGCCCGGGCTCCCAAGTGCCCTGGTGAGGGCCATTATACGCGGGATAGTCGAGCATGGTACTGGTAGGCTATTATAGTACAGTAGCTTACAGGCGTGATGAAGCGGGGTACAAGTCTGCATACGATAGTCTATTGGAGGATCGCTCAAGACTGGGTGCTTCAACGAATAATTGGATCCTTGGGATGTTGGGATAGGGAAGCCGTTTCACGCAGAGCTGCACTCACGGACTGCCGTTAGAGGAAACATGGTATCGAAATTGACTGACCGCTGATACTTGTTGGAATACGGTATTTCACGGATTTGCCCAGCCTCTGACGCACACATGAATGAATGGATGGATGAAGTTGTCTTTTAAAAAAAGATACCGTATTGTACCCGTACAGAAGGAGGAAAAAGAAAAAGAAAGAGGTAGAAAGAAAAAGAAAAAAGGCCATTAAAGCATCAAATATACTCGTCCACGCCCCCAATCTTCAATCCTCATGGCTCGTAAGAATAAGGCTTTTTTTTCGTTTTTTTCATCATTTAGCGCTGTACCTTTTTCTGACTAGCTAAGGCCTCTGACCTTCCACAAAGTGTAATGCTTCTTCCTTGCTAGCAATTTTGACACTAGAGGTTTTGTATGTGTCCTGATAAAGCACGCCATAATGCTTGTCCGCGACCATAACGAGCTCTGGTCTGAACGTCGTACACTGTTGATATGTTTCCATGTTAGTTGTGTAATGCTTTAGTTATTTATTAATCTGTTGGGGTGGGGGGTGTCAAAAAAGTAACACGGTACATACGATAAATTGACCATTTTCTGCCCGTGACGAGAGATCCTTCACCATTTGTGCGACTGCTGTTCTATATTGTGCTGTGGATAACCAACCCCATGTAAGCTTGTGATACCAACGAGAAAAAAAACCTGGGCGCAGGATTCCCAATAGCCGGGCTGTTGGGCTGCTAACAGCAAGTTAACACCCTGCAGGCCAGCAGACAGCACGTGTTACGTACTCCTGTTGATTAATCCAGCTCAGGGATTAACTTGGTTTTGAGGACCAATGCAGTCCGGTTCTTGAGAACCCTGAACAAAAATAAAATAAAAACCCTCGGCCAAATGGCTATCGTAGTACTTATCCGACTTACCATCAAGATTCGCATCAACCTCATCAAAAAGGTAAAACGGTGCTGGATCACACTGCTGGATGGCAAAAATAAGAGCCAGCGCACCTGCTTAAAATTAGCGAATCACTTCTTAATAATCATTCAACTCTCTGCATGATATACTCGAGTATCATCCGGAGAAATAGGGCGTGGGGAGATAACGTGACTTACACAGGCTCTTTTGTCCGCCACTCAATTGCTGGATCCTCTGCTGCTCATCATGTCTCGAATTGAAACTCACGCTAATACCTACCCCCGTGTAATTCTCCACCCCACCCTTTCTACCCTCCCCGTCATCATCGCCGCTAGCTTCATCATCACGTTCCTCCCTATCTACCCTCCTCTGTATGACAAGCCTTCCTCGCCCAGCTGGTACAAGTTTCTCGAAAATCTCCGCGAAATCTTTGGACACTTGTCTGAATGTCCGCTCAATTGCCTCATCCTTGCGCTGGTCCAAAACCTGAATCAGCTCTTCAATAGAGGATTGACTGGAATCCAATTCTTCGCGTCGCTTTATTAAAGTATCACGTTGTTTCGTGAAATTTGCATACTGTTCGAATGCTTTCTTGTTAACGTGGGAGTATTTTTTTAGAGCCTCGTTGACCTTATGAAGTCGTTTAACAACCTACGTATCCTCCGAACGAATCAGTAGCCGCATGCTTTAAAAAAAAAAAAAAGTAAGGGGGTGCATTAAAAGCTGGTGCTTGTCGCCAAGATTGGAGGCGCGCATTGCGCACCCAAATGTTGCTTTTTGAGGTCTTACCTGGTTGGAAGCCAGCCTCTCAAATTTCTCGAAGGCTTCTTCGGGTAATACTCCTAAATCTCTAATATTCCGACTGCATTCCTGGGCCTTGTCTGTAAGTAAGGCTCTCTTAGCCATGCTCCTCTCAATTTTTTTCTTCTGTCGCTCGATATTCCGTGCCTCCTCTTGCTGTGCCGTCTGCAGCTCAGTCTTCTGACGCTCAAGGTCCTCGAGTTCCTTTTTTGCCTCATCAAGTTCTTGATCGACCTCGTCTAGTCTGGTCTTGACCCTATCAATTGACTTTCCGATTCGCTTCAGCTCTCCTTGGCTTTCTTTCAGATCGCTACGTCGCCCACCTGACCCCGTGGTCTCCAAATTGTCCATACTCTGCCCCTTTAGTTGATCAAGTCTCATCCGTAGGTTCTCTCGTAGCTCGACTTCAATGATAGACTTCCGGCTTTCCTTTTCGGCCCTCTCCAGAGCTACTACCGACAAGGTCTTCCGTAGTTCTTGGACAGTTCCGGTGAGTTCTTCGAGTCTAGCTTCCTCGGCAGAAGTAAGAGATTTCTTGAATTCGCTGCTAATCTCTGATTGATATGCTTCTAGTTGCTCGCCTAGACTTTTCAAGCTTGCCTCAACGTTTTCCCTGCTTTTTCTCTTTCTCTCGAGATTATCTTTGAGCTGCCCTACCGTGCTTACTAACCCTTGCAATTTAGCTCTGAGCGGCCCATAACTGTTTTCTAATTGGCCTCTCTTTGCCTCTGCCTTTTGTAATTCTCCCACAGCATTCGTAACTTCTTGGTCCTTTCTTTCGATTCTTCTCTTAATCTCCACGGCTTCCCGTTTCTGTTTTCCATACGTCTCCCGCCATTTCTTTACAGCTTTCACGGCTTCTAATCTGCTGCGCCTTGGATCGTGATAGCCCCCTGTCAATGCACCCTTCTTGTCTGCTCTATCGCCAGCAAGTGTTATCGCGCTGAGGCCATGAGATCTAGCATATTGTGAAGCCACATTGAGGTCAGGGCAAACAATTGTTTTGCCGAAAACATGCTCGAAGGCCTTAGCGTAGGTTTCGTCGTATTCGATATAATCCAACATTGGCAATGCGTCCTTTGTGCCGGGAAAACTTCCCAGCCTCGGTTTAAGTCTGTTGAGTGGCATGAAAGTAATTCTACCAGCCTTCTCGCGTTGTAAATGCTGGAGAACAGTGGTTGCTGTGTCGTCATTGTCAACCACATAATGGAATAAACTTTGTCCAGCGGTGACTTCAACAGCTGTACGGAAGTTCTCTTGAACATCCATTAGTTCGACAAGGGTTCCATAGCATCCTCCCAAATTCAGCCTCTCCTTGATTCGTCTAACTGCCGCAAGACCTCGCGAAGTGTTTTGGTCCATGGTGTAGGACAGGGCTCTCTCCGCCTTCTCGAGCTCCTGGCGTGATGACTCTACCAACGAATCCACCTTCGCATCCTCGCGCCACAGTTCCTTTCGTTCATCGACCAGTCTATTACGGTCTTCTTTGCGGGCGGCAACATCTTCGGCGATCTCTTCCAGAGTTCCAGACCTACCGTCGAGCTTTTCTCGGATACTCTCGATCTCTGTCTCCACCCTCACAGCCTCAGCCTCCAACTCTGTAGTCTCGGTTTCCAGCCCATCCATTATGACCTTTCTCTTCCCCAGGGTCTCTTGACATTCCTTAACTTCTCGCCTGAGCCACTCATCCCGTTCCCGTTTGTTCCGAAATTGAGTACTACGTCCTTGTTTCGCGTACAATCTCTGGCGTGCGGCCTCGGCCTCCTCCAACTGCGACTTTAGTCTGGCCTCCTCCTCTTTCTTCTGGTTGTACTCAGGAAGAAGTTCGGCAAGTTCGGCTTCACGCCCAGCGATACTATCGGTGATTTCTTGAAGCTCTTCCTCATACCGAGCCTTGGCTTGTTGCAGATGTTCTTGGTCGGCGGTCAAAGCCTTAACGTCCAGCTCAATCTGTGCACGATGTCGAACATGCTCGCGATATTCTTCCTCAAGCTGAGTTTTATCGACCCGAAGGAGTTCCGATTGTCGCTTGTTTGCTGTAATCGATTGGTCAAGGTCCTTGGATCATTGCGTAAGCTAAGGCTCTGCGTCGGTAGATAAAAAAAAAGGGGGGGGGTGGGGGGAGCAAACCTGTATTTCTTTCTCGCGCTCAATAAAAGCCTCCCTGCTGTCCTCATTGATTTCAATGCCACGTGCTCTGGTTTCTTCAATTCCATCAATTGCGTTATTGATTTCAACTTGCTCTCGATGGTAGATCGTATATTCGAGACACCTTCGCTCCCTGTCTTTCTCCTGAAACCCCCTTAACTCCTCTTTTTCTTCTTCCAACTCACTGAGCCGCTCCTCAATGTACTTTAGTAGTTCATCAATCTTGGCTCGTTTGCTCTCAGTTTCCTCCATGATCTTAAGAGACTCTGTTCTCCGTTGCTCATAAACTTGGGTTCCTGCTACCTCTTTGAGGAGGTTCAGTCGCTCGAAATCCTTCATGTTTGTAAGCGTAGTAACACGGCCCTGCGGGACAATGTAGTAAGGATTGCTTCTAGAGAAACCGGCACTCTCTAATAGATTCATTACATCGCTCTTAGTGGCATTTTTTCTGTCAAGGGAATACTCATCCTTCTTGAGACCGATGGTTCTCCTCAACACCACCTCATCTCTGCCCGTAGGAAATCGCTCGTCACTATTATCAAAAATAATTTCGACATATGCACTCATAACCGCAGATCCAGAACCTTCGTGTAGCAGCGCTTGCCGTTCTTCTCTCCCCATTTGGGTATACGCGTCGGAGAGAACAAACCGGATAGCAGCAAAAAAGTTGGATTTTCCGGAACCATTATGACCGACGATAACATTTGTTTTGGGTGAGAAGGGCTCGATAACTGTTTGTTCCTTGTAGCTGTTGGATCCAGTAAATAATAGTATTAGCGAGATCAAAAGCAATCCCAGTGGTTTAAATGAAAAGAGAAAAGCTGGCATACGATTTGAAACCCTGAACGATTATTTGTTTGATGTGCATTTTGCTGGTGTCGCGATTGGTCGCTGGCGACACTCACAGCAAATAGACTATGCGATTTTGTTTTGAATTCGAGTGTTTGCTGTCAGGCTTGTCAAGAAGTCGGAAGGAAGGGATGAAATTGTTTGATGATTGCAGTGGTTGGTGGGAGCAATGGAAGTCGCGCCGTTGCTGTAAAGAGACAACATGAGAGGGCAACGCGTTGTGGGGTGTATGGCAGATGGTGAGCGCCAAGAAGCCACACTTCCTGTGAGGCTCGGACATGCCTGTGACTGGAGCACCTACCGTATGATACCAGTATAGATACAGCACTATAAGTTACCACTATCATACTAATGTATTTCCTCAAGGTCGCAAATGCACCTTTCCTAACTCTGTTTTAATTAGCACTTGGGAGCCGCTGAACTCGAGAATTCGCAGCATATCCGCTTCTTCGGGGCGGGTCCTTCAGTACCCCTCTAGGCGAACACACTTCTTGTGCAATCTCTGAAAAGGAAGAAAGAAAGAAACACCGTGAGCCTGGGCTTCCTTTAGCCTTTAGGAAACCACCGCAATATGGTCTACCAGTAGGGGGTGAGCTTCTGATAAGTGAGGCAAACTCGAACCCTGCTGGCCAAATTGGGAGTGAAGCCATGTGAAGGGGCAACCTTTGCGCTTTTCTTGGAGGTGAAAAAGCCAGGCGAACCCATCTGCTGCTCTAGCCACAGCGGCTGCGCGATACTCGGCCCTTTGATTGGCTAATAGGCTTGGGGCCAATCGGAGCAGCAGGCAGGCTCGACTCGTTATTCTTCGCCCTTGGTACTTGTATGATGCAGCAACGGTAGACCCTGCGATATGGTATAATTGTACAGTACCGCAAGAACTCGAATCGGAGATAAATGCGCTATAATAGGACGTTGGAATCCTCCCCCCTCTCAACTACGTGGGGGGAGAACACCCTAAACTCAGCCCTCAGTCGAAACAAAACTAAAGCAGAGAAATATAGTCAAGCAAGCTGACCCATGGGATTACCAATATTCTATTTATGATATCCTAAGGACAATACTGTGCTGACCGCCTTTTGGTATTAGTAAATCGATCTTTAAGGAACAGGCGGGATATTAATTAGGGCGCGAACTATCCTTATTCATTGTATATCAAACCGGCTGAGCATTCTAGAGAACGAAATCTTGGTCCCAAGGTATATTTCCTTGTATCTCTGGGGCCCCGACGGTCCTGTACTAGTACTCACTATTGACCAAGTTATCAAAGGCCCTGAAATAGAGGATATGCTAATGAGAATTACCGGTATGTGTGCTTGGTCTATGTATTTGGTATGATGTTGGCGAATCATGTTTGTCCCCACAAACAGCATCTTAACTGTTGCCCTCAACCCTTCCACAGTGAAAAGCGGTATTAGGTGAGATCATCCGCATCTTGGTCGGGATTCCGGTGTTATTAAGTATATATTATACCTTATTCATAGGCTGAGGGGATGGTAGAAGGAAACGGAGAAGTGAAAAATCTACCCACAATGTGTAGAATCGTTTGAGCACTGGCAATAGAGATACTTGGCGCGGTTCCGCTGTGATTATGTCGCCATAGAAGATAGGGCTACTTCTTCCTTGGCATTTGTGTTATCTATCAATTGAATTAGGGAGATTCCACTCTGGGGGTTGAAAAAGCGCTCCCCCAGCCCGGGGTTCGAGTTGATGTGCCAGCCCCGCACGCAAAAAGGCGATAAACAGACCAGTTCCTAGTCGAAAGCGCTTTCATAAATGTTCCAATCCAGGAGTCGAATGCCTCTAATAGTGGGATGGGCTTGAGGACGTGGAGGATCGAGATGCGTGTTTGGTTCCTTCTATCGTACAATAACCTCACTCCACAGCTATTGTTTTTAATAGTAATTTATTTCTTTATTGAAACGATACCTGTGAAAGCATCAGAGCTTCACCCCCATCGCAAGGTTCATGCTAAATCTGTTTGCAAATCTCTGGATTATATCCCATTCAACCTAAATCTGCATTTACTTTTATCGTCAGTAGTTAAATTTATTGTACTGTATGATACTCTTAAGGGCGATCCGCGATCCACAAACCATCAAGCATTGGCATTAAGATTGTTGTTTCCTGTATCATAGGATTGGTGTTGCGGTTTAAATGCTGACTAATTAGGGTATTGAGAGGGAAATAAGTATGATACTGTGATGTGTCAAGTTACCAAACATAGAATTTAGTGATTTTTTCCAGAAAAAATGACCCGAATAGTTTATTTTTGTATTAATTAGTGTTGACACGGCTTACTGGTATCATACTAGCAGATTTGAAAAGTATGATATGATACAATGACACCTTGGCGCCAAGACAGGGATCATGAGTGCCAAGGTGTGTGGATACTAAAAAAACCGCCAGTAGACTATTATTGTCAATATTGGCTTGGCCAAAGTCATGTTGTCATGTTGCACACAAAAAAAGACAAAACCTATGATACGAACACCTATCCTCAACTTTTTCTGTCAGGCCCTAATCACCACGAAACCTCCTCAGTCTCTCAACAACCCTCCCTACCTCCACGGGAACTCATCGGATCGGTGTGCAACCTTAATATACTTTCTGTCTCTCTTTTTTGATCCAGACTATTATACTTACTTTTGCTTTGTGGCAGGCTACCCTTAAGAAATAGGGTCAAAAAAGTTCGGCATAAGCAGACTTCAACCTCCCATTCTACTATGACCGATATCGCAACACCTTTTGCTGCAGCTCTGGGTACTGCTGATATAGGAAAAAAGTTTGTTCAAAAACCGGAGAAGCCTGACCAGACTGAATTTGAGAAAAGGCTTAAGGAGGCTCAAGAGGAGCATGACAAAGTTCGTCAGAAGTTGGTATGTTCAAAATCGTATTCCTTAAATTATTAGAATTTTGGATCTTTTCAAGGTTCTGAATTTTACCCAACAACTTTGGGATGTAATTGGTTTTTCTAACATCCCCTGCAACTTCAGAGCGAGGTTAAGGCGAAGCTAGATCTTGTCCAGGTTCCTGGAAAAAACCCTCTCCAAAACGAGCTCAGGGAAAAGCTTTCCGATCTCCGATCTCAACAATCCACGAAAAAGAATGACCGTGCAAGGATTGACGAGGAAATCAAGACAAAAGATAGTAGTCTCAAGGCCAAAATAAAGGAATTCAATGCTAGAAAGGAAAAGATCCCATACAAGACTCTCGAAGAGCTTGAAAAGGCTGTCAAAACCCTAGAAAAAAGCGTGGAGAAAGGTGATATGACATTGGTTGGCGAGAGGAAGGCTCTATCTGAAATTTGTAAACCTCTACTTATCATATATGCGAGACTTGGCCGCATTGCTAATATTTTGGAATCATAGCTACTCTTCAAAAGCAGCGCAAGATTTTTGGCGCCCTCGACGCTGATCAAAAGGCAATTGACGAAGAAAGGGAGAAGCTTGAGGAGCTTAAAGCCAAGAGGAAGGATCCCGACGTTCAGAGGCTAAGCGACGAGTACGAAGAAACTCAGGGGAAACTTGACGCAATCAAGGCCGAGCAGGATGAGGCGTAGATACCCCTACCCCACTCTTTAGGTAGAGTGATCGTGCTAAGCTTGTTTCTAGCTTCGGAAACTTGAATAAGCTCCGCGATGAACGCAGCAGCCTATACGACCAGCAGAAGGAGAAATGGCAGAATATTCAAGATCTCAAGGACGACTACTATTCTGCTAGGAATGCTTACCGAGAGTATGAGAAGGAGGCCTGGAGAATTAGGAGAGAGAAGAAGGCTAAAGAAGATGAGGAGTATCGTCTAGCTAAGAAGCGTGAAGCCGCACAACAGAAGATGGGTACGTGATGCTCCCAGACGAAGATAAACTATTTTTGACGCTTAGTCCTGGGTTATAGAAGAGGCATCACAAAAGGCCTACACCTCTGAAATCCTCACCTGCGAAGGTCTTGTTGGATATTTTGATCCATCTTCTGCAGAGGCCGCCCGAAAAGCCAAACTCCTCAGTGAACCGCGAGTTCTTGCCGCTCAACCCACTCGTTCTGTCGGTGGTAGTGCACCAAGTGGGAAAAAGCTTATCAGGAAAGACGACCGTGAGGAAGGTTATTTTACTGGTAAGCCTAAAAAGGGAAAGAAAGGGAAGAAAAATGCAGGAACCACCTCGCCGAATCCCGAAACTTCCCCTGCTACACCAGCCAGGTCCGCAAGCGGAAAGATCAATCTTCCGGGCGGTGTCGTACAAGAGTTAATTAAGGTCGATATCTTGCCTCCTTCCAACAAAGAGGACGTCCAGAGAGTTCTTAAAGAACTAAGGGGCAAATTGGCTTGGTATAAGGACAACCAGGATCAGAAGACTACGGAGGTAAAACAAGGTCAAATCGCTTATGCAGTCCCCCGCTAATGCTATTGTTCTAAACAGAATATCGCCAAGGCCCAGAAAGAGATTGACCGACTTGAGGCCGAGGATTTTGATGGTAACGAGGAGAAGGAAGTCACCAATGGTACTTCAACTCCCAATGAAGAACCCGCTGAAGCCGCCATTGCAGAGAGTGGCGAGAAGGGTGACGAAACTGAGGAAAAGGCAGAGGAGAAAGTGGAATAAGAGGGACCATTTCCTCTTCCCTTTACTCTATTTTTTCCCTTGATTTTCCTGGCATTTCCAAAAAAGAAAAAAGAAAGAAAAAAGTTCCTATCGGCGACGCCAGTAGCCCTTGCGAATTAATGCTTTGCTTCGAGCGCCGGGAGAAAATTCACTAGCGAGAAACTTTCACTTGTTACATTATTCCTTCTCTTTTCATCTTCAGCTGTGTGATATTCTCATCCCTTGGGATGGAAAAGGATACAGCGATTCGGTCACTGCTTTTGGTTGGAGGTATACAAACGGGTGTCTAAAGTACATGGGTTGGGAAAGGGATTTTAATGGTTATAATGTTTCTGTCGTTGAGATCGTACCTGTAATATCAAGCTAGAAATACTATATACAAACAGCCCCAGCCCAGCTCATAATCCACCAGCGGAATTCCACCATCACCACCACCCTCACGATTTCCCAAACAAATCAAACGGGTAAAAACCGTCCCCTATTATATGGGTTTCTAGGCGACCACAAGGGATAGGGAACTGAAACCATACTATCATACTAACAAAAGCCGGGTTTGCATACTCTGGTCCTCCGACCGTTGAGCAACCCGGGAATCATTAACCCCAAACAGTCTCTCAGCGCCTCAGTACTATCATATTATGCTCATATATTTGTCCACAGATTCCATGTATCTTGTGCTGTGGCCCACATAGCATTGCACTCCAGATATCGCACTCTCCCACAAGAAAACACCCGCAGGTGGCTGCTGTGCAGTACTTGGGGTGAGGTGAAGTGCCGATACATCCCAACCACCAACAAGCGTCTCCAGCACGACAACCTATACTTTTAAAACCCCTAAAAACAAGACAAAGTGGTCACCAGGTAGGGATCCTACGGACCTGAGCAAGATAATCGGACGAACTTTTTCAGTTTTTCAGTCTACCACGCTCGCCGTCCCCATCGCCTGTTTAGTTGAAGTGTATCAACACCCAATTTCGCCCCAAGCAAATCGAGGCAAACAGGAGACAAGAGTGCACTGGGAAGAGGCAGTGGGGGTGACTTTCTTGACCTCCCAGGAGTGATAAATAGGTCCCTTGAGTACACTACACTAAAACTCTCCAGTCGCACCTCGGCATATAGACATATGGCAGGGTCCGATATATGAAGATATCACAACTTCGATGTCCAAGACCGAGTGATTCGATGTGATTAATGCAGTGGGCAATCACACTGGCTCCCTTTACGACCCCACGATACAAATGAGCTGACTGAAAATCTGTAGATTTGTTGGGATTCCCCGGCCCTGATGAACCCCCGCATGTCGGCCGACACGCAAACCTCGAGACAAATATCACCATACTATCATAGCCAGAGCGCCGACTATCGCAACGGCCGAACCAACTATCATAACTAGGGTAAAGCCTATACGGTCCGGGCGAGCACTTCCGATATTGAACGAACCCAACCATCCAACTACAACCCAAGACGCGATCGTATCCAACCCCGCCACATGATTGTAGCTGGGGAGTTGTGAGTGAGCCCACTGTATCATATCATTTTACAATCCTGCGTTCCCTCCGCTGAATCCACTACACCTTCTATCAGATATTTTTCAGCAGGATACAGTAGTTCTCGGGGGTTTTGTGAGAATTTGCGCTGGGAGACACAACGGTGTAGACTCTCGAGGGAGGGAGGGAGTCTTAGTTTTCTCCCCTAAATAACTAATTTCAGGGCTCCCTGAGTATGAGCAATCCCAGCTCATCTGAGTATCATAATATAGGATCTTTTTCCAGCAGAGTTTTGAAAGCTCCGATATGTTGCATCATGGAGTATCACTCCTGCATGTATTCCTTTCTTGCTTTGAATTATAATATTATTATTCTCGTTGTTGTTTTTCCTTTTCTTTTTCCCTCCTTGCGAGAAGGGTGAGCTGTCGATATGCGGTATATATGATACGGCACCCCCACCTGCCGCTCACTCTGGACCGTGGGGAGGAAAAGAAAGCGCTATCGATAAATGACTCGAACGTTTGCCTACTGCCTACCTACCTACTGGCAACTCAAGCGCAGGGCCGGACTCGTAAATCGTGACACTAGAAACTCTCGAGGAACGAGAAAACGCCCACACCCAGTGGCCCATATATGCCTCAGGCCATTGCAATCACGATTGGATTGTTTATATCATGCAGTAGCCATTGGAACTATGGTCGGTCCCTCAGGGAGGGGGGGTGAGAAGCAATGATAGAGCATCCTTTTAAGGGCAAATCTCAATGCGGTAGATCTCTCTTCTTATTAATACCGCGAAATGTTGCGTTAATCCGGGACGCGGCAATAAAAAAAAAAAACCCCCCGGGAAACCGATACAGTGGGATGTTCACCAAAATAAAAGAGGGGGTGGGGGACAGAATGTCATTTTTGATATCATATTATGTGGAATGCCAGTCAACTGAAAAGTTAAGGAATCCCGAGTGACGTTGAGTGAGTAACCTCTCTAGTGGCCTATACATGGACATCTACTAACAAAGAAATGAGTCCTGGTGATTTCGAGTTTCCTTTTTTTTCTTCTTCTTCCTTCCTTCCTTACTGCTCGGATTGATCATACCGTGCATCAGTCTGTATAGCACGCACTCTGAGCTCTAGCTGCTGCGGAGCGTATCTTACCCGTTGCTGGGGTTTTTACGGTAGAGCTCCTTGGTGGTTACATATACTCTGGCGGAGTTTCAATTGAGTGGGTTGGAAGTTATGGTGGAAATTTAATTTTATATCCAATTTGTTTCCCCCGAATTTCAAGAATTGATTCGACCGAATTGATGGAATTGTTGTGGGATTTTTAAAAAAAAAAAA